CCTGACAGCCCATCAGTTTCTCATGCAGCTCGCTAAACAGTGGGCGGGGCTTCAGGTGATCATGCAGAGCTGCGTGTCTCCGTCAGACTCAGAAGCTGATCTGATCTCTCTCTCTCTCGCGTCCGGTTATACTTCACTCGCGTTTATGTCCATATCGATCAGATCCAGCTCTTACCGGACATTTTGACCGACAGGATTTGAATTTACCGGGTTTTAATACATTTTATCAGCTAAAAACCGGTAATTACCTGCTAACGGAAACCCTGATTTATACATGTGCACACATTAAGACAAAAAAACACAACAATCAATATATACAAAATAACAGTCACTTCAATATCTATCACTATATCAGTATAGTGAAAACTTGTCTTTTGAACATTTAAAAACACCAACTTGGATTTTGACAAACTGGGAAGGACATTTTAACTATATATTATTTTTAGATGTATTTAAATGAATAATCATTTTTTTAAAAAGAGCTAAATAAATCATCAAGCATTGACAACAGATCTGTCAATCTGGATAACGACTGATACCCGAGTTCAATTTTGTTCTCCACCAAATGTGTTTCAGACCTCAGCATGACGACTACGAACACAACAAGGAAACATCTGTTAGTGATTTCTCTCTCAAATTGGACGTTGAGTTTTGGGGTTTAGTTTATAAATGAGGAATCAGTTGATGCCAGACCTGTGTCGGCCTCTGTCAGCATCCTCCTCGTCACCTCGATGAAATAACAAGAGCCATTGTACACAGAATGGTTCCATTGTGTTTAAACTTGATGGGTTTTATGAACTTGTATCTGAGCTGTGTTCTGGGCTCCACAGTTCATCTCAGAGGAGGTTTTTTCTCGTACATCAGAGCTGTCTTTACGTTATTTGGTTTCTCTGGCCGCTCTCGCTCTGAACGCGGCTGGTTTTAATCGACCTGCTGCAATTTGTGATTGTGATGTCATGCTCCTGGAGTCTGCCTACGAAACTCAAACCAGCTGCTCCCCTCCAACAATTAACACGGAGCAGGAGCTGCAGCCAGGCTCTGCTAATGGAGGAGTTATGTAATGTAGTGGACTGAAATCTCACATTAGCTCTTCTGCTTCTTCTTCTACTTCTTCTTGCTTTCTCTTTCTTCCTCCTCCTCCTCTTCCTCACCCTGTTTCTTCCCCCCCCCCCAGCTCTTCAGGTTCTTCTGGATCAGTCCACGAAGGCGAACTCTCCTCTGAAGGGCCACGAGCGCACCGTGCAGTACCTCCAGAGACTGGGTGAGGACGTCTGTGTTCACTTGGAGCCGTCGTCTCTCGCTGTTCCATATGTATAATTTGTTGGGGTGATTTTGGGAAAAGCTCTGAGAAAACCGTCAGCCTGATTTACTGTTGATGTTGGAGGCAATAAATATTCTGCATGCTGTCGTATGTCATGGTCTGCAGTGCCTCGCATTCTCTGGCACGCACTAAATGAGGCTTTTTGTACCACATGTGTCAGGATTTACTATATTTCTGCACCTGGGATGGCAACATGAATTCCTGTTGCATTACTGACCCGATATCTAGCCGCTAACGATAGCTGTTCATGTGTTAAACTAGGAAAACGCATCATAATAACCGTCATAAATTAAATGGCAAATTGATGTTTAGTTAATATTTATTCTACTGATAAAGACCATTTGTTTATATTTACGATATTGTGTCAAAGAAAGGAACATTTCAATATTTGCTAATGATTACCAAAGACATTGTAAAATGTTTCATAGATAAGTGAAACCGATCATTAACCATAAACAAACTATTACATATTTACTAAATATGCTTTACAATGTATTGGTTTCAACAAGGTTTTATGATCATCAGCTGCAACTTAATAATATCCATTTAAATAATGTTTATTGATTATTTGATTAGCTTGTATTGCTTACTATGAGCTGGATCATCTGCTGTCTCCTTCTTCTCCTGTGAGTTTCCTTGGTGAAGTCAAACTGTATTTCTCTCGTCACGCAGGAGTGGAGAATATGGGAATAATCTTCGAGTTTTCTCCCTGGGTGTTGAAGATCTGTCCTGAGGACGGTCTCAAGGTGAGACACACAAACTTACACTACATGATATAATAATGTTTCAATTTTTAATAATTGTTTAACTTGTTTTATACTTTCCCCTCTGTTAGCATTTGGTTACGTTGCAGGGTTTTTCCTTTTTTACATTTTTAATACATCATAAAGTGGTTTATGGTTATGTTTTCAAGATTTTCGAAATTTGAAAATAGCTAGATTTTTCTCATATGGCGTTTTATCTTTTCATGTAAACTGAAACATTTCAGAAACATTTTTTATATACTGAAATAAAACGATTCCGTCGTCATATTTCTAGTTGTGTTGTCATACACAAAACGCTAGCTAAACAATATACAAATATATCAAAAAAGAAATAGTGACAACATTAATTTATTTCGGTGGGTATTTTGCAATTATATTAACAAAGTAAAGGTTTCTTAAGAATAGGCACCTTTTTTAAAGTTCTTGAATCATATTCTTCTAAGCTGTATGAACCCTTTAACCATCATAAACCTTTCTCTATTGTCTTTCTATTATCCTTTCACCATAAAGAAAGCCCTCTCCTCCTCATTTAAAACTGTCTTTCTGTCCAGATCTTCACGGAGGACTTGACGGAGGTGGAGACGATGCCCCGAGACAAGGTGCTGAACTTCCTGAAGGAGGGCTTCAAGGAGCTGGCCGTCCCGTACCTGGAGCACATCGTCTACGTTTGGGACGACAAGGGCCCCGAGTTTCACAACGTGCTGATCCAGCTCTACCTGGAGAGGGTGCAGGGCCTCATGAAGCAGTACCTCAACTCCCTGCCTGAAGGTACCCGTCAGAAATGACATGAAACCTAATCAAGTTAGTGTCTGCGGCACCTTGAAAGCAGTGTTTCCGTTAGCCGGTAATTACCGGACTTTGACTGGTAAAATATGCTGAAGACCGGCAAATCTAAATCTCTCCGGTCAAAATGTCCAGTCAAAATAATTACCCCTTAGCGCAATACCGCATCGGTTGCGCCACTTATGTGACAGACAAGAAGAGTCAATTCTAATGTCTAACACTTAATGTGGAGAAAGAGATGTCCTGTATGGGTTGATTGTGCGTTGATCTGTTGGTAATGCCTCGGGGTTCCGGTCGGCATTTAAACAAATGCATAATGCTATACTTTGTGGCCTCACCCGGTTGCATAGCGACACTTATTGTTCAGGTGTCTCTTAATAAGCAGGTAGTCATATCATTAGCTAGAACTAGCTGGATCTGATCGATATGGACATAAACGCGAGTGAAGTCTAATCTGACAGGAGAGAGAGATCAGCTGCTGCTGACGAGTCGACACGCAGCTCTGCATGATCACCTGCAGCGGTGAGCGGAACAAAACACACACTTCAGGTTAGAATATCACACGTAGCTATTTTAATGACTTCTCAAACTACCTGAACTAGTTATAGATATGCTTAGTTTTACTGTCGGGTCTCTCATTACTGATCCGCGAGTTGCATGATACTGGCGGGCTGTCAGGAGAAGGAGAGAGCGCTCCGTTTATTATTCCTGTGTTATTATAAGTTACTTTTGAATAATGTAATCTACTATAATTAGTTTGTTTAATATCGAATCATATCAATTTGTTTTAAAGCTCAATAAATAACACTTTCACCCGCACTTTTCTCATTTTGTTCGGAAGATTTAAACTTTAACGGACATGTTGACCGGCACTAACGGAAACTCTGCGTGAAAGTCATGAAAACTTTCATACCAACTGTTTTTTTTTTTTCAAAATTCTTACTTTTTCTCAAAATCTCAAAATTATGACTTTTTCTCCAAATTCTTACTTTTTCTCAAAATCTAAAATTATGACTTTTTCCTCAAAATTATGACTTTTTCTGAATACTTGAAATTGTTAATAATCCCTGGTCACCGTCTTGAGCTTCAACCTCAGGATCCATGTATCTGTGATCCTCTCCAGAATGGAAGTACTCATCACATACAGAGCATCAACTAGTTCCTGAACAGTGTCCTTTTACATTACATTACATTACATTGCATTTAGCTGACGCTTTTATCCAAAGCGACTTACAATAAGTGCATTCGACCAGGAAGACACAACCTTGAAGAAAACAGAATCATATAAGTACATCAGGTTTCATAGAGCCAAACATTTCAAGTGCTACTCAACTGGCTTTAGATAAGCCAGTCCTTTATTAGTATATAAGTGCTTTGTTAATAGTTCTATCGCTCGTTTCACATGCTGATATCCAAGAGAGGGAGTTACACAGTCACAAGATGGAGGAATAGAAAGCAGTATTCAATGTTTACTTCAGATTAGCTCCACGTCAGAAATGAGCATGCTTGATGTCTCTCTCCATAGAGGCTGAATCATCATGTTAATCACATAGCTATCATATGCCTCAAACAGTCCTGATGCTCTTCTAGGTAATCACACATCCTGTCATGTTCACAGCTACAGTTGGGATACCTTTGTTATCATGTTACTCTGATATATCTATTTTATCATAGAGTTTCCATGTGATTACAGAGAGTGCCAGGACTTAATAATGAAGCCCATCCATCTCCCGCTCTGTTTGTGACTTCTTAATGACCTCCCAGGGACATTTTGTATCAAAATGAACCTGTCAGACGGCTACATATCAACGTGTGCTCATTAATGTGCACTTAGTGTCTTAGAAATAAACTAATAAATCAAATAATGTAATATATAAATCTGTCCTTGGCAGGTTATTGCTTCATGGTGCATCATTAATCAAATTGCAGAACAGAGTAGGTGGTAATATAATATAGTTGTTTCTAAGATTAATAACAGATTATGCACACATTGTTAATAGTGACTGTATCAGTGCTATTTTAAGGTTGACCTCAGATACCCTGTTGAGTTTCTCTAGTAAAGACCTTTTCCTTTTCATGCGTCCATGTGTGCTTGCTTCAGTAAAGAATAATAGCTTATTAATTCAGTGGCAAAGTCAAAAACACGACGATAAAAACACATTTTGATCAAGATTTCTATAGACTTTAAGCACGTTTCATGTCATTTGAGATTGTGTTTGAATGTTAGATCAAATAACAAATGAATATTTTATAAATATATATATATTATAAGCAATGTCTGAGAAATACACTAATAAAAGCAACCAATTTAAAATCATAAATATGTATTTTTGGCATTTAAGCTTTAGTATACAAAAGTCAAAAGTTTGAACACACCTTCTCATTCAAAGGTTTTTATTTAAATACATTATTTTCTACATTGTAAATTAATACTGAACACATCAAAACTATGAAAGAACACATATGGAATGATCTAGTAAACTAAAAAGTGTTAAATAAACGAGAATATGATTTTTATTTTAGATTCTTCAGAGTATCCCCCTTTTGCCTTGATGACAGCTTTGCACTCTTGTCTCAGTCAGCTTCATGATGTAGTCAAAAAACATTAAAAGCATTGAAAAGCAAAGCATCATAAAATACAATTTAAGGAAATGCAAATATAATGTATTATTAACTTTATGTCTCATGAATAGTCTAAAAACTCAATTTCACAGATTGAGCCAAGCAGCAAATATTCACTTAAAGCATTAGGAGCCGCTGAAACAAATGACACAATAGTTCATTATCAAAATGTCTGCAGATGAATCGTCCAATATTTATATATCCTTTATTTAACCAGGTAAAAGTCTCATTGAGATTACAATCTATTTTCCAAGAGCGACCTGGCCAAGAAGAGCAGCATGAACAAAGTTACAACAGATCAAACACAGACAATACAGGCAGAGGAATGCAGCTGAAAAACACAAATGAAATGGCACATCAACCAGTCAATGTGTGTGGTGGCGTTTTAATCTATTTAATAGCCACTTCTCTGTCGGGCTTTTGAACTTTTGACGCGCCTCTATTTGTTTCCAAACGAATTTAGCGGAGATCGTTGTTGAATCAGGGGGTCCGCGGGGTCTTAAAAAGTATTAAAAGTTGATAAATCAATTTAGCGAAAATGAAGGCTATTAAAAAGTATTAAACGGCATTTTCCAAGGTATTACATTTTGTAGCTTGTTTTCAGTAAGTATATAAATGGTCCAAAGAGGTTGTATTCTACAGTCTGCCTGAATGTAATCATTGCGTAGGTGTGTAGTGTGATTCTGTGTAGTTTATTGATGGCATCCCGTTGGATTATTGGACGTCATCTGAACAGGACATCGCGCGCTCACTGCTTGATAGCGCGAAGCTCCGTTTACGCCGGTTGCTAAGCAACATCGTTATGGGGAAATGCAAGTCTGCGTCCAAATGGTTGGAAGATAAGGAGGAAGGACAATCAATACTGTATATAGTCAATGTGAGGTAAAGTGTGTCGCCAAGGTAACCGGTTAGAACTCAAAGTGGAGATGAGGTCTTAAAATGTATGGAAAGGGTCTTAAAAGGTTTTACATTTGACTTCAGGATTCCTGCCTCTCGCTTCATAGTAAATAAAAGTTATCAGTATCCAAAAAGAACACGGTCAAAAGACTTTACCGCTTCCCCGTCTCATCACAATCAGCTGTGTCCTATCAACCTACCATATATAGGCATTTAGCCGTGCATGTGATACCTGGCGCACATTTGATAACAAATAAGTGAGCCTTAAATGAATATCTTTTAAACCAGTGTGACTCACAGAAATAAAGAGTTTAATCTAAATCCTTTTATTATTATTAAGCCTAACATTCAGACCATAATAATGAAATGAAAATGGCTCTAACAATATGCAAATAAAAAAACTATTATAAAACATTAAAAAACTGGCACAATTTAAAACGACTTCAATCATGGGATATAAGAGAAATCACATCGACCAATGGATTCTTGTTCTCTGTCCTTTTTAAGATGGACTTGAACTCCCCCGTAGTGATGAAATCTGACAGTTTCAGCTCCTTCTATACAGACGTTACTCTTCTTAAACTCAATGTGTGTTCCCTGCAGGAGTTCCCCCTGTGTCTGCGGGGAAGGAGGAAGGGGATCTGGGCGAGTTCAGGAAGAAGCTGCTGTCCTTCCTGGATATTTCCACCAGCTACCAGCCGTCCAGACTCATCAGTGATTTTCCCTTTGACGGTGAGTTCTGAGGAGAAGGCGGCTCCTCTGTCTGCTCGACAAATACTCACAAGGATGTGGAATTTAATATCTATAGACGCTGACAATTAAATGTATGACCTTCCTATGATAATGTGTCATAATCATTTAGACCACTCTTATAAATGATTGATTGCCAGAGTCAAAACAAACATTTACATTTGCTTTTGTGTAATGTTTTCCCTATTATTGTGATGTATTTTATGGATTTAAGGATAATAATTGAAAACGTAAAGAAATTAAAAGATTTCATAAAAGAAAATACAAATAATTGGAATTAAAAAAATCAAATTAAAGGGTGCTCTAAGGTTAAAGGTCACCTATCATGCTATTTTTAGGCAATAGCATAGGTCTCAGATATATAAAAAACATGTCTATGAAGTGTTTTGCTCAAAATACCAAACAGATCACCCATTCTAGCCAGGCCTCATATCCCTCTATTTCACTTCCTGTTTCTAAAGTGCTGATTTGGGGATAAAGCTGTAAAAATAAATATTGATAACAAATAAAAAAGGAGGGGTCTGAGCTCATGTGGGACCCGGCAGCTACTGTCTAAACTAAATGCTGCCGTGATGAAACGCCATATCATGGATCATCAAGGATTCTCTCTGAAACAGTTTGGAGCTCAAAGTAGGGCTGGGCGATTTGGCCTAAAAATAAAATCGCGATTATTTTTTTTTCTAACTAATGGACAATTTTCGATTTAAACCTCGATTTTTTTTCTGTTTTTTTCTAAACAAACCAGACCAAGGCTCTTTTAAGTGAACGACGGGAGCCGGCTCTCGCCCGCGAACGAGCCGTTTTTTTGTTTTTTTTGCGGAGGGTTCTAGATCGGCATGAAGGCACATTATGCAATGTGCACATCATCCCGCTTATTACACATGGCCACATTCTCAACAAAGTAACGATATGACTCCCAATATTAATTGAAATGCTTTTATGGATTTAGAAAATGATTTTATTGACTTAAAAAATAGTTTTATGTATTGATTTAAATTGACAAGCATCCGCTAAGAAAAGCAGTCCGTTGTTACTGTTTGAACTAACGTAGCAACGGCAGGAACTGCTTCGATAGTGTTTTTGAGGAGCTTTTTGATTACAGATTTGAAAACATCGTTGCTTGCTTTAAAAGTAGCACACTTCATGATGTCAGACCTTGGGAAGTATCTAGATATCCCTGCCCTAATGCCAAAGTAACTGCCAACTGAATATGTGTCGCCGTTTGATGTCTATGTCTGGACCGCTGCGTAAAAAGGAGGGTTTCTGCCCCGTTACTTCTCTTCTTACTTCTATAAGAATAAAACACGGAGGACGGAGATCTCTTTTCCTCCCCCTCTACAGACCGCCCAGCAGCTGATCTCAGAGCACGCTCCCCTCTCCTGCAGGGGGGCGTGGTCAGCTGCAGTTCACAGAATCAGCCCCCTGCAAAAACAGCGCTGGAAAAAGCAAATGGAGCGAAATGAGGCATGGCTAAAATGCAAGATATTTTTGGTATTTGAAAAAAAAATAAAATGTATATACTTTATATAGGTCGATACAGTAGCCCCTTTTTAAAAAAAATAGTTTGTATAGGTGTTGCTATCTGTTTTGTGTAGCGTGGTTCTACAAGCAAGTCAATGCATTCATTGGGTGGTATCAGAGATTTACACGGGTCTGTAAATGCAATGAAAACAATTGGCCACAGCAAATCATTTATATTAAACTTTATTTACTTTATTTACTCTTGAATACTTCAGTACCAAGTATGTATTGAATAATTTAAGGGATATATGTGTACACAGAGCTGCAGATCGGGTAGTCACAGGCAATGTGGCTGAGTTTTGTGCGCATTCTGGAAAGTGAGAGAGTAAGCTACTACGGAGTCCCTTAAAGCAAAACAAATCTGCGGAGTCTAGAAATGTTTTTAAATCGCGATTTTTCGGTTCAGCCATTTCACAAACCGTAGGAAAGTAAAAATGCAAATTAATCGTTAAAACCGAAAAAATCGCCCAGCCCTAGCTCAAAGGCTTTCTCTCTTGCCGGTTATACCACAAGGTGAGTTCCTTTTTACTTCCTGCTTCTTCACACACATGCTCTCCAGTACAGGTTAGCTCTGAGTGTTAGCGATGCTAATGTAAACACCGACCATATTACGTCCAAAACAGTCGGGCATTGTTTCTGATAGCAACGTCTCTGATTGGGCCGTGGGTCCACATTTCAGATATTACGTCATATCAGACGCAAATCTGGATCAGCTCCGTTGTTCCCCGTTTTTAGAGATTTGGGTACGGAGGAAAAGAGAGAGGGTTTTATTTTCTGACGCTGCGTGAGTTCCCCGACACACCGGGGACACATCGTTGCTGTATCAAAGACATCACAAAGTGCATTTTGCATGATAGGTCCCCTTTAAATGAAAAAAACATATAATTATCTATGCAAGACCAAAACACAACATTTTAAGATAATAAAATAAAAATAGAAAAAATAAGAATAACAATATATATTTTTTAACTGAAAGAAAAAAAAATTAATAATAGAAAATAAGGAAAAATAAAATAAATAGGCTTGTTCGATGGAGAGCATAAATATGCAGACAAATGCATATTTACACTCATGTATACATACATTAATATACAGTTTATACACAGATATACATCACTACATAGACATACACAGACAACTTGGGGCTGCATCCTTTAAAACTGTGTTATTGTGATAATGTTATGTTACATTTATTAAACCATTGCAAATATTAATTTACACCTTGAGTGTGGAAAAAATAAGTGGTTTTGATACAGAAATTCAAGAAGAACCACATTTATTTATCAGTAAATATGTCTCTACTCAATTTAATGTATTTAATGTAGTATCATACATCACGCAGTTTCCTGCCTGTGTAACATGCACTTAAGAAGAACAAAGTGTTTTATGTATTTCCCATGACTTCATGTACATATGTTGGTATGTTTTAGTGAAGTTATATTAGTTTTTAGCCGTTAATAAAAACCCTGCCCTTTGATCTCAGGGCTGCTGGAGGAGCGGGCGCTGCTGCTGGGTCGCATGGGGAAACACGAGCAGGCACTCTTCATCTACGTGCACATCCTGAAAGACACACACATGGCTGAAGAGTGAGTCCTCCTGCACACACACACACACACACACACACACACACACACACACACACACACACACACACACACACACACACACACACACACACACACACATGGCTGAAGAGTGAGTCCTCCTGCACACACACACACACACACACACACATACACACACACACACACATGGCTGAAGAGTGAGTCCTCCTGCACAGACAGACAGACACATATAAACACACACACACACACAGACATACACATGGCTGAAGAGTGAGTCCTCCTGCACACATACACATACACACACACAGACACATATACACACACAAACACACAGACACACACAGACACACACATGGCTGACGAGTGAGTCCTCCTGCACTCACACACACACACACACAGACACACACACACACACATATACACACACAAACACACAGACACACACAGACACACACATGGCTGACGAGTGAGTCCTCCTGCAGTCACACACACACACACACACACACACACACACACACACACACACACACACACACACACACTCACTCCAACAGACAAACACACCATCCTGCAGATGAACAGGAAGGGAGTTCACAACAGACGGCAGCCAAATGTTTGTCCAGTGGCTCATTTTATATTTAATATTGATTTGTGGTGGAAGAGGTCAAAGTAAACGGAGTACCAATACAGTGTGGAAATACTCTGTTACAAGTACATGTCCTGCATTCAAACTGTAACCTCAGTAAAAGTATTACCATTCAAATAAACCTATTGTTAAAGTTTCAACATTTTATAATAATAAATAGTCTCAAATGTCTGAAGGTTTTTTAGGTACATTAGATTTTACTGCTTTTTTATAGAGAGAAATTCTGGATGTAGATTTACTGAGACATTTCCAACAATTAATCTCTTAATGTAATCACTCTATATCTCAGATGTTTCCAAGGTTCGTCTATTTTAGTTGCTATTTTCTGCTAAATATACTCCAACTCTGAGTTGTTCTCAGAATATTACAATCCTCCCCTACTCTGTAACTTTCTCCTTTCCAAACAATGAAATAAAAACAGTTGTAGTAGTTTAATCTCTACCTCTAATAATAATAATAATAATACGAAACCTACATGATAAATGATCTGGTGGTAAGATATTGCACTATTTATCTGAATCTGAATCTTCCAAATAAGTGCCAGTGGAGTAGAACTATAGTAGCAGGAAATAGAAATACTCAAGTAAAGTACAGGTACCTCAAAATTATATTTAAGTACCACTGCTAATGATTAGATATTAATTTCTGAATGTTAAACGGTCTAAAAGTCTACATTTGTGACAAAGTAGGTCATTTGTTTCTCAGTTAAAACAAATGCTTTGACTTTACTCAGTCATCCTCACTATGTTGTTACAGCGCTGTGAGCTTTATAGAGATAAATACGTTTTCATGTTTCCTCTGTCCTCTGCAGATACTGTCACAGCCACTACAGCAGTTCAGAGGAAGGGAACAAAGATGTAAGGAGATTTTAATGTGTTGTTCCATTTTGTTCATGTTCCAGATAAGACAATATGTTTCTCTAACCTTCGTCCTCTTGGATTTCATTGTGCTGTGATCACTTTTCTCATTATGTACACTCGAAGTACCTTCAGAAAGAGCTTCACAAATATAAAGGATTATTTATCTTTCCAGATGACAGGCACACAGCTCTACAGACAGCCTTATTCGTCATGAATAAGAGTTGTTGTTGTCTGGTGTGTGTCTGAAAAGTAGCTTGAATTTTCAAGTAAACACCAAAATTAAAGAAGTCAAAATGAGTGAACAAGTGTTTGGTTGGAGGAAAAAATCAATGAATCAATGCGGTTTCTTTGAAGGTCAGAAAGTAATGAAATCCTTAATAGATGCCGGTGTGTAAAGTCCACTTTTAATAATTTTTTTTTTTTTAAAATAGCCTAATTTCAAATGATTTTTTTTAAATTTAGAACAGTTATACCTTTTTTCTATCCTCATGTTAAATATTAGCTTAGCTTAGCATGAAGACTGGGAAAGAGCTAGACTACCAACATAGCTTCCGTTCAGTTATTAAGATGTTATTATGTACATATTTTTGAGCTATTTCTCAGACCGTTGCATGCTATATCGATGTCAAATGTTTGTGAGGTTGTGTGTGTATGCATGAGACCCATGGATACATATGCTAATTTCATTGCAGCTATTGCTACTTCACTCTTGTTTTAAATCTATCCTTTTTACGTTTAGCTAAAGCATAATTTCCAAAATGTCCAGCTACTTCTGTATTTAAAGTCACCATGTTCTTAGTCAGGTAGGTTCCTGAAACTTTGAGTATATCATTTTTTTATTGTTTGATTAGATAAGAAGAATGTATTGTCGTTGAGTACCGAGACAACAAAATGCAGTTTAGCGTTTAGTGCAAAAACCTTCAAATGTACAATTTCTATTACAATTATTAATCATTTCTTGTCTGGTTTCTTATCTAGTTTTTTTCTGCTGTAACGTGGGCCAATGTTATATCTTGTCTTATCGTCTTTGCTGTTTCGGTATATTTATCCTGTTTTTCAATTCTGTAAAATCCTTTATAGTTGTTTTTTTAGGTGAATTTTTGTCTTGCATGAAACTGTTTTTATGCTGCTTCATCAGTATTCTCATGACACATTTCTGGTCAAGTAATATATCAATGACTCTAATATATATGCACTGTTGGTGGAGCCTGTGACCTAAGATTTTCATCGTCATAACTACACTGTAACTATGTACATATGACTAATAAAAGCCTTGTACCTTGAACTTGATATTTCCTCCCTGCAGGTGTATCTGTCGTTGCTGCGGATGTACCTTTCCCCTCCTGATGTTCACTGCCTGGGGCCGATCAAGATGGAGCTGTCGGAGCCTCAAGCCAACCTGCAGGCGGCGCTACACGTCCTGGAGCTGCACCACAGCAAGCTCAACACCACCAAGGTAAACACACCACAGCTAGCTCAACACCACCTAGGTAAACACACCACAGCTAGCTCAACACCACCTAGGTAAAAACACACCACAGCAAGCTCAACACCACCAAGGTAAACACACCACAGCAAGCTCAACACCACCAAGGTAAACACACCACAGCTAGCTCAACACCACCTAGGTAAACACACCACAGCAAGCTCAACACCACCAAGGTAAAAACACACCACAGCTAGCTCAACACCACCAAGGTAAACACACCACAGCAAGCTCAACACCACCAAGGGTAAACACACCACAGCTAGCTCAACACCACCAAGGTAAACCCACCACAGCTAGCTCAACACCACCAAGGTAAAAACACCACAGCAAGCTCAATACCACCAAGGTAAAACCCACCACAGCTAGCTCAACACCACCAAGGTAAACACACCACAGCAAGCTCAACACCACCAAGGTAAAAACACCACAGCTAGCTCAACACCACCAAGGTAAACGTACCACAGCTAGCTCAACACCACCAAGGTAAACGTACCACAGCTAGCTCAACACCACCAAGGTAAACCCACCACAGCTAGCTCAACACCACCAAGGTAAAAACACCACAGCAAGCTCAATACCACCAAGGTAAACCCACCACAGCTAGCTCAACACCACCAAGGTAAACAAACCACAGCAAGCTCAACACCACCAAGGTAAAAACACCACAGCTAGCTCAACACCACCAAGGTAAACACACCACAGCAAGCTCAACACCACCAAGGTAAACACACCACAGCTAGCTCAACACCACCAAGGTAAACCCACCACAGCTAGCTCAACACCACCAAGGTAAACACACCACAGCAAGCTCAACACCACCAAGGTAAAAACACCACAGCTAGCTCAACACCACCAAGGTAAAAACATCACAGCTAGCTCAATACCACCAAGGTAAAAACACCACAGCAAGCTCAATACCACCAAGGTAAACACACCACAGCAAGCTCAACACCACCAAGGTAAAAACACCACAGCTAGCTCAATACCACCAAGGTAAACACACCACAGCAAGCTCAACACCACCAAGGTAAAAACACCACAGCTAGCTCAACACCACCAAGGTAAAAACACCACAGCAAGCTCAACACCACCAAGGTAAACACACCACAGCAAGCTCAACACCACCAAGGTAAAAACACCACAGCAAGCTCAACACCACCAAGGTAAACACACCACAGCAAGCTCAACACCACCAAGGTAAACACACCACAGCTAGCTCAACACCACCAAGGTAAACGTACCACAGCTAGCTCAACACTGTAGACAGAACAGAAGGTGTTCAGCAGATGTATACCCGATACACTCTCAGATTAGAGACGAGATAATCCTTGCAGTTGCAACCAGATTTTAAATACGTTAAGGATTTCTAAACTCCTGCAGTGCGAGCCTGGCTTTGACAACAACAGTGTAACATATGTTCAGTGCATAAAAACAGCATCAACTGTGACAGGAAGTTATCACAGAAAAGCACTTCAACTGCTGTGAAGCTGCCAAAGTTTTTTTGACACGAGCACAAAAGTTGTCGCACTTCCATCTGGTTCTCAAAGCTGCTCTTAATTCACAAAGCATTAATTAGTTTCTAAGTCAACCCAGGGCTTCGTTATTATAACTTGATTTGCCAATTCAGAAAAGACATGAAAGTGGGACAGATAAGAGAGGGCTGAATTAAGAGATGAGATGGAACAACATGATTAATGATGACAGGAACTCACACAAAATGAGTCATTTAGCGTGAAATTAAAGCAGTGAATGAACTGAACAGAAAGATTTAATTTGGTGTTTACAGCGAGACTACAGGGGTTTGCAGTCGAGCTGCTGCTTTCTGATAGAACAAGGGAGCAGATCTCCCCCGAGAGACACGTGAATATCTTTTATAAAATTGTTTTCTTATACTTTCAAATACCTGAAAAACAGAAGGGAGACAATTTACATAAAAAGCTTATATGTACAAAACCGGCTCATGACCTATTTTTCTTGTCGAACCTGTTCTCTAGTAAAGAAGACTTCCCTTTAAAGGGGTCATTTGCATTATTTGAAGTCGGGTAATATGAGGTGCTAATCCATATTCATGAGGCGTTGAACATCTCTCGGCTCTTTCCCTCGAGGGAAACACATCCTGAAGTTTCCTTCCATTTCTCTGGAAGTGAACTTGAGGACATCGACCCTTAACCAGTTGACCCCTGAGCCTGTTTTCCAGGTCTCAGGCTCGAAAATGACATTCCCAGAACAAATGACAATAACTTCACTTCTAAAAGGGGTAAATTAATAATCTTTTTTCGCAAAGCAAGGATACACCTGTGAGTTGGATGTAGAAGAGTCAGAATCAATATAGCATTTTTTTTTATTTTAAAGTAAATTCAGATTGAACATAGTAAAAAAAAAAAAAACATTACTTTTAGTGAAAACCACCCTTGAGTGATGGGATGGTAGACTAAAAGCTTTGGGAATCCAAACTATAACATATAATAAGTACCCTGTATCAAGATTGATGCAAAATAAGTGAAGTTTGACCTTTTTAGAGAGATTTAGAAAAAATGTATTGGCTTAAAAATGGAAGGATGGATTATCAGACACATTGGATTAACCTTCAGCAGCGTTTTATCGTTTTAATGCCATTGAACACAACTTTTGATCAGAAAACATCAAAGGTAAGACGTTTTGGCACCTTAAAGCTAATTTTGTTGTTTGTTGTCCTTTCGCCGAGATCGCTCAGTGATGATACTTATATGTCTGGAATCTCAGCTTGCTAATCGATATCTTGTTTGTGCAGATCCGATAAGTACTAAGGGCATTTTAACGTGAGTTCTGTGCTAAGTGTGTTAGCATTTCTTCGCTCAGGGCTAATTCAGAGCCTTTGTTATTATCCTTATGTTTTGTTTTGCTAAAAATGGCTAATATTGTCTGATAGCTGAGTTTCTTCCCGTTAAGTGGGTATGACACATTCATAGTTTATTAAATGTTAAGAAGCCCTCAGACGCTGTTTCTTGCAAGATGTTGCGTTTTGCCCCCGTGGGGTTTAACTGGTTTTAACCAGTGAAGACCATTTGAAACCTTAAGTGTAACTACATGTCCAAAGCAAATTTAAAGAGGAAAGCATCCTCTCTAAAGCTTTATCAGGAAACTGTGACTCCAAATATTCCTTTTACTGATTCCTTCACAAAGTCAAAGGTTGAAAAAGATGCGGTTTCTACGTTTTTGGGATGTTTTAACAGAGTAATGATCCGGCTGCAGCGACCTGTAGCTCCAGGATGTTTGGTCGGGTACAGATTTGTCTGTTTGGGACCTTTTTTAATGGGAATTCCTCTTCATGGACTCCTATTGTGGTGAAGAGCAGTTGAACATGGTGGAGGAGGAAGAGGAGGAGGAAGAGGGGCTTCTCATTAGCAGACAGACAAACACTGAGGTGGGTCTGGGAAGCTCTCTTCTTCATCAGGAGGACCCACTTGTGAAATTCTTGTCACAAAACTCAGCAACGTTGGTTTGTTTAAAAGAAACAACTATTCTGACAAAGTCTTATATCTGAACAAACATTAAGGAAATAGAAAACTGTGCTTTCTTCCAGTCTCTTTTTTTAAATATTGTTCATATTTCTAGTATTGAGGCTTTTTAATGAACGTCTGACAATGACACTGTTTCACTTTTTCTAGACCTTATATAGACTAAATTATAACTACATTACTTGAGAGAACATTTGACATTGAATATCATCTTAAATTATATCTTTAGACAAATGAAAGATACGAAATTGACCGACACACACAAAAAGCTTCCTGTTGGAAGTTTTCCCAGGAGTTTTGTACAGTCCGGTCGGTCTGTGTGTGTGTGTGTGTGAGAGTGTGTGTGTGTGAGAGTGTGTGTGTGTGTGTGTGTGTGTGTGTGTGTGTGTGTGTGTGTGTGTGTGTGTGTGTGTGTGTGTGTGTGTGTGTGTGTGGTGTGTGTGTGTGTGTGTGTGTGTGTGTGTGTGTGTGTGTGTGTGTGTGTGTGTGTGTGTGTGTGTGTGTGTGTGTGTGTGTGTGTGTGTGTGTGTGTGTGTGTGTGTGTGTGTGTGTGTGTGTGTGTGTGTGTGTGTGTGTGTGTGTGTGTGTGTGTGTGTGTGTGTGTGTGTGTGTGTAGCCTTCATCTTCGTCATTGTTCCCTGCCTCAGAGGTCAGTGCTCCTGTCTCTGTTCCAGTCTGTGTTGTTTATCATTTCATCACATTTTAATCTTAAAAGGCTCTTTTTGGGACAAATCCATGCTTTCTTTTCTATATTTATAGAGAGAGAGAAAAAATATATATAACCACTGACTCTTATTCTGAAAGGCCTGCGAGTTGAATACAGATCAGCCTTTCTCACACACTCACCATGTATACATCACTTCAGGGGACATTACATTGACTTACATGCATTTCCTGGAGACTTATCTTAACCCTAACCAACACATACATAACCCTTATCCTTACCCTAACCAAGTCTTCACCCTAAATTAATGACTGTGACTGTGTAAACAGATTTAGGTCCCCACAAGGATAGTAATGCTCGGCCACACACACACACAGGGAGGGAGTTCAAAACAAACGGCAGCCAACTGTTTGTCGTGTGGCTAATTTGATATGTGGAGGAAGAAGTAAAAGTAAACAATAATAATACAGTTTGGAAATACTGTGTAAATATCCTCCATTCAAAATGTAACCTCAGTAAATGTATTATTATCATCAACATGTACCTAAAGTTAAAGCTTCAAATTCCATAATAATAAGTGCGTTAAGAGTTTTTTGGACTCAGATCTACTGCTAAAATTCCAACACTTTATCTCTAAATGTAATCACTTTATTTCTCAGATCTATCCAAGTTTCTTCTTATTTATTTGCTATTTTCTGCTAAATGTACTCCAACTCTACTCTGGAGTCTTTCTCAGAATACAATCTTAATCCCACATTTTGTCTACACACTATTTTAGTTTCATACACTAACTTGTTCTGATGGAAGGATTCTGATAACTCCCACCTAAATCAAACACGTTTTCACATCCTGTCAATTTTGTTCTTGTATTTGTATATCTCTTGTTCTAAATCACACGAGTCAAACTCGAGGCCCGGGGGCCAAATCAGGCCCGTGGTGGATTTAATTTCGGCCCTCAGGATAATTCTTAATTCCTATTAGATCTGGCCCTCCGGTATATTGCACGCACACCTTCACTCCATCCTGAGGGTCTCCTCCGCTCAGAGCCTGAGCCCAAACATTGATGACCTTGCACCCAAGATGAGATGCCAAGTATCTGAGCTAGCATCACAGAGCAGCACTGAGTTTAATGGATGCTTCCTTCTGCACTTTCTCTCACAGGACAACAGGGCATGTTTGGTTTTCTCTTTGAGGGGAATAGTTTTGTTGAAGCTGTTGTTGGCCTGTGGGAAAATGTACTCATAAGAAATGACTCTGGAAAAGCTGCAGATAGAGCCATAAGAAATTAATGCAGCTGATTATTTAATGTTTAATGTTGTTTTTATAGGCAATCATTTAAGCTTTGTTAGTTCCAGGTTTAATATGTGCAATAAGTTCATTTCAATAAGTTCTGCAATAAACATTGAACCAGTCCGGCCCTCCACTAGTACCCATTTTTTATTTTTGGCCCACTGTGTGTTTGAGTTTGACCCCCTTGCTCTAATGTCTCGCTTCTTCATCACCGTCATTAAATGTATTTACGTATGATTTTAGAATGTGTTTCTTTTGCAGCCATAAGAAATAACATTATCAAAATAAACTTGCCTTGCACAACGATAGATATTATTCTCCTGCACCAAATGCATGACTGAAATGCATTGTGGGTAATGTAAACCCCCAGATTGACCATGATTGGTGACTGCTCTTTAAAGTCTCTGCTAATACTGAAACTCCTAAAGTCTGCTCAACACTCTCTAACAAACTTATACTTGTTGTTTCTCTCCCAGGCCATCAACCTGCTCCCGGCTAACACTCAGATCAGAGAGATCCGCGTGTTCCTGGAGAGCGTCCTGGAGGAGAGGGCTCAGAGGAAACGCTGCAACCAGGTCCTGAAGAGCCTGCTGCAGGCAGAGTTCCTCCGGGTGAGACTCTGGAACATTTACAGCTCACTCTTTTCCATTAAAACAATATATTAAGCTTTTGTTTTACTCCTCCGTCTCGATGTTGCAGGTGCAGGAGGAGAGGATCTTCCACCAGCAGGCGAAGTGTGTCATCACCGAGGAGAAGACCTGCCGAGTCTGCAAGAAGAAGATAGGAAACAGGTAACACATTATTATCCTTTATTCCTTTTTCTACCATTTTTTATGAATAACAGTTTAGATGAGAGTAACACCTACGTCACTACCGGGCGAAAATGACGGCCCCGCCCACTTTTAGGGGAAAACAATGCTGTCATTTGAACGGCGGTCAATACAAATTCTGAAGTTTTTGCCAATCCGATCAGCAATATTTGAAAACCGTGAATTTCTGATCTTCAAAGAGCTCGATCACGATGGCCAGTCAGGTAAACAGTTACATTCCATCATTGGAAATCGACGATCAGGCTCGATATACGGTTAAATTAAAATCAGTAGGCGAGGCTGTAATTTTCTCCGGCTGTTACTCTCATGAGCGAGGCGGAACATAATAGTTTTATCATGCCAACAAGCTGCTGTGTCGTTTATTGCTCCTCAAACATTAAAACAAATCCAGAGTTCAGTGTTTCTGAACTTCCTCTAAGAAGAAAGGACGGAAACAGAAGAGCTCTGTGGCTTCAGGCTCGATCGCCATTCAAATGACAGCGTTGGTTTCCCCCAAAAGTGGGCGGGGCCGTAAAGTGAAGTAGATGTTACTCTCATCTGTGGACATCGATCGCCTACTGCTATATTTAACCATATATCGAGCCCGATCTTCGATTTCCAATGAGTTAATGTAATTGTTTGCCTGTCTGGCCATCGTGATCGGGCTCTTTGAAGATCCACAAATCCACGGTTTTTTTACATTTCTGATCGGCTTGGCAAAAACTTCAGAATTTGAATTGACCGCCAATCAAATGACAGCGTTGGTTTCCCCCAAAAGTGGGTGGGGCCGTAATTTTTGCCCGGAGGTGTTACTCTCAAGTATGCACTCTAACTATTTAGTTCTTACAAAGCATTAATTTATCAATTTTTTTATTTTGTATTTGTTTTTCTAATCCTTATTTTTTCCCTTTTATTCAAATGTGTCATTATTCAACCTTTTCTTAAGAATATGGAGAAAACATAAATAAAGAGGAATATAGAAAATAATAATATGTACACGAATACATTTAACATTCTTCATTTAAATGACTTTTAATGATGTTTGATTTGGGACAAATGTACTTACTGTGACATTAAGCCTAAAGACAGCAGATGGATATTAGCTATTAGCTCAAATCTGGAATAAATCGTCTCTTTTCTGAGATTAATGCAATCAAACCATAAACCCCAGCACGTGCACTCCGCTCTGCATCAGCCAAACGACTCGCTGCGCCCTCGCTGCGAGGGGGACCCAAGTTCCCATCAGCAGAAACACGTGGGTTTGCTATCCTGGCTCCAAGATGGTGGAATGAGCTCCCCATTGACATCAGGACAGCAGATAGCTTACACACCTTCCAGACTGAAAACTCATCACTTTCGACTCCACTTCGAGCGATAGATTTACTAACAAAGCACTTTTATAATAAAGGACTGGCTTATCTAAAGCCAGTTGAGTAGCACTTGAAATGTTTGGCTCTATGAAACCTGATGTACTTATATGATTCTGTTTTCTTCAAGGTTGTGTCTTCCTGGTCGAATGTACTTATTGTAAGTCGCTTTGGATAAAAGCGTCAGCTAAATGCTATGTAATAATGCATGGTCCTTATATCCATATAAAGACATAAATAAATAAGCTTCCAAATACAAAATATGTTTTTCAAGCATTTAATTATATAGTTATTGATGTAGTCTTAGCTTCAGTGAAGTTTCAGCCCTTAAAACCCTTTCAAAATATGAGTTCATGACATTTTACACTCACTGAAGTGTCTTTCCTAGAAGGGTTATCATCAAACCTCATTATGATATTCCCAGTGTGTAATAACTAGGGAGCGGTATCGTTAAGGTTTTAACGGTACTACTACTTTTATCGATAGCGCTTATCGGTCCGGTCTTTTAACGGTACTCTTATCGGTTCTTTTGGAGAAAGAAATAAGGTAAACTAACATTGCTTTTTATTTAAATGAAATAAATAATATTTCACATCAAAAGAAACAACAATGTTTTAACAAATCGTATTAAATAATCTGATGACAGAACTTGTAAACAGAATAGCTGAAACTTTAACAAAATAAATAACTCAGTTTCCTCTAATCATTAACCCATGTTTGTATCATGGAGTTAACTCCGTGTGTTGCTGCTAGCATACATAACACCTGACGTGGAAACGTTACTCGTGGATGGAGCTACAGAGCTGCTAGAAAGACAGTGGAACCCGGTGCATTCCTCCGTCTGGATGTGGAGCACTTTTGATAAATGTTTAGACAAATTGCTCGTGTTACCGCCCTCACATGCTAAACTCTTATTGCACTTTAGGCAACGAGCATCGAGACGGGTAAAGTTTAACCACCTCGGAGCGCGTTCTCTCCGCCATCTCCTCCGTGTGTGTGTGTTGCTGCATGTAGTAGCTGTGTGTGTGTAAACTGCCCCGCCCCCTCGCAGGCAGGCGGGGAGAGATCTCTCGTCTGGATTGGAAAGATCGAAAATACTAAAAATAATCATAGACGCATTTTTCAGTCTTTTTGCGAATTAGAAACGGAGTGGGCGAAACTAAAACTGCAATATAATGTTTGTGTAGCAATAATACATATGACATGTGTTTTAAATGTCTCCAGTACCGATAAAAAGACCGATAACGTCGGAGCTTAACGGCACCACGGTCTTTAATAATTCGGTACCCCTCCCTAATAATAACAGTATTCTTCATTTAAAATCTCCTCTCTTAATTAAGATTTCTTCGTCTCTACAGTTTCAGTTTGACGCTGAGCTGCTTCCCTCTTCTAAGTGTTGCTGAAAGCTTCTCTATCTGCTGTTTTGCATCAACATAAAGCCCTTTCTCTAACGATCTCTTCCTCTCTGCAGTGCGTTTGCCAGGTATCCAAACGGCGTGGTGGTGCATTACTTCTGCTGCAAAGACCGCACCGTGTGTCCCACCGAGCAGTAACACCAACACAACAACAACAACTGTTTACTAATAAACAAGCTCCTGTCCTGCTGTGTGGATGTTTTGGAGGAGGTTTCAGGATGCAGACGTTTCTTTACCCTCAGAGCAAGACCTCCTCCTGGATCACAGGCTCCTTGCATGAAGGAACACGAGGAATGTGCCGGACAATCACAGGCTGACATTTAAAAAGCATGAAGCGCTAGAAGAGACTCACTTCTCATGGCTTTTGACAGACGCCGAGAGGAAGACGAGGCTCGTTGTTTTCTTTGAGTTTGACCTCCTCCTCCTGTGACGCTGTGCGTGCCTCGCTCTGCAGGAGTTCACTTTCAAGGCCTTTCTGTGACTGAAGATTGTACTCACATGATGCGTGTTAGCATGTGTCGACACTGACAACACGGCGTCCGTCTCACGTTACTGGTTTTAATTGAAACATTTGAGGCGACTTCTACAACTAACATCATTCACAGCGATGTTCTTACAGTCATTCACCTTCATCTCTGTCAAGCTTTTGTAAGTGTTCCTGTGTCTGCTTTATAAGGTGTGTAACGGTCATACTACTGGAACAAAATAATAATAATTGATCAGAGAAAAAGTTGAATATTGTCTGAGATTAAATAAGTAATAAACAAGATTTTAAAACATATTCTCTGAGACTTTAAAGACATACATGTGTGAGGAACAACTCTAAAATACTCTGAGTTTAAAGAAGTAAATTCAAGAAAATATTTAGAATATTCTCATAGTCATAAATGTGGCCGAAAAAAACCTCCTTGTTGATGATTTCTGTCCTTCATCATCGTCTTCTTTAAGGCCTTTTTTTAAGTATTCACATGTGTCTTTTTCATGTACGTATTACTGTTATTGTAGCTAGAAGAAATAAAACATGAGGGTCCATATTACGGACCACAAATATCAATAATTAATATCAATAATTCACCAGAAAAAAAACTTGTTGTGAATTCAAAATATCTTTCAAATACTCTCTTAGAAATATTAAGTCTTAGTTATTGAAGAAAACCTCTGAAACACTGAGATTTGAGAAGTACTTACTCAAAAAATACTCAATATGACGACTTTAATATCTAGATTCCCAAATATTTAATAATACACCATTTTGTGTTTCCAAGACATTGAATGTTTATGAAGTTAAACTCCTTTAAAGCGGGGCTATGTTTTGAACAATCAAGTCAATCGAGTAGCTATCACTGAAACATCACAATTTAATCAACCGTCACAAAATAAGACGGCATCCATTTTGATAATCAATGAAT